CGCCGCTTCGGCCGCGGCGGACGCCGCTGCGGCGGCGGCCGCTGCCGGGCTGTGGGCGGCGACGGCCGCCCTCGCCCAGGCGGCGGCAGCTTGCAGTCCGCGCGGCGGCCCACCCGAGCGCGCCACTTGGCTTGGGACATGAATTCCAGCATTTTGACGGACTCCAGCATGACGAGCGTGCGCAGCGTCGTGGACTCCACCAGCAAGATCGTGTGCAGCGTGACGGACCCCAGCAGCACCGTCATGAGCAACTGCACGATGGACTTCAGCAGCAAGACCGTGAGCAACGCCACGTTTTTTTCGTCCAGTTCGGACCTTGGGATCATCGCAGATCGATCCGGCTTGGAAGATGCTGCAGAAATATGAGGTCTACCAGCAACACCACCCCGACCAACGGGCCCCGTGACAGGTCATGATCGACCCCCTGTGCTCCCTGCCACTGTGCGGGCGGCAAACGGCCGCGGGTTTGACTGGGCAGGCGGAAGCAGACGAGGGCCCTGACTCGGTCAGACACCTGGCCGGCTTGGCGGCTGCCTCCAAGGGGCAGGTCGCGGCCCGCATCAAGCGGTTGGGGGACCGGGGCAAAATGGCTCGGAGAGCTCGCCGCGCACAGTGCGGCGGCGACGCGCTGGGCCCGCGGTTGCATGGCGTGAGCTTCCTGCGCGGTGTCCTCGCAGCGCGCGTAGGGCACCGCGGTGCAGTTCCTGTGTCGGGTCGCGTGGTCGCGAGTCGGACACGCGCTGATCTGTCGCTGCTAGCTTTGTCGCGCGCCGATCAGTCGCTCGTTTCGCGCGCCGTCGCTCGCCGATGAGTCGCCCTGGGCGCGCGCCGTGCTGTCGCCCTTGAGTCCGCCGTCTTTTGCTTGCTCGTGCATCCGTCCCTCCCGGCCTTAGGCACCGTGGCGTTCTTTCTTCTGTTGGAAGTGGCGTGGCGTTCGCGCCGCCCTCGGTGGCGCTTCCCTCTGCGGTGGCTCGCCGGCCCCCCCCTCCTCCTTGGGGGTCGCGGGTTTCGCGCGGTCGCCGTCGTCGTCGGTCGTGGGTTCGGCCAAGTGGGCCCCCCCCCCCGCCGTCGTCTTTCTGGGCTCCCCTCCTGCCTCTGCCTTGCTTGCTCCTTCCCTCCCTCTCCCCCTTCTTCTGGGTTGTCCCCGCAGCGGGGGTTTAGCCTTTTTGGCGCCTGGAGTCTCTCTCTCCTGGCGCCGCGTCTTGCGGCCCCCCCCCCGTGCTTTGGCGCTTGGTCGGGGTTCCCGGCTCCGTGTGGGTGGGCCCCCTCAGGTGGTCATCCGCGTGCCGCCGTCGAGGTCTGTCATGCGCGTGGTGCTTTTCTTTGGGCGCGGCGTGGGTTCTTCGACTGGGCCGTCTGCGATCCTCGCGGCGCCGCTGGGTCTTGTCTGAGACCCCCGGGGTCGACTTGGTGGCGACCTTGGCGGCGGCGCGTGCAGGGCACTTCGCGTCTTTACTTGCGCCGCTCGAGCGGTGCCTAGTGTCGTTTTTTTCGGCCAGTCCGGGCGTGTCACTGACGCTGGCATTTCTTGGCGGCGCGGCTTTCCACCGGGATTGAGGCGCGCGCGGCTTCGCTAGTTTGGATTCGGCCCCGCTTGTGCGTGTTTCCACGTGTGTTGCTTTCCGCCACCGCCAATCAATGTTTTCTTTGCGTTGTTTCTGCTGTTGTGGCCCTGCCGCGGCCTGTGGGTCCAGCAATTCCGCCCGCGCCAGTGCTCTTGCGTCGTTGGTTCGCAGGGTAGCGCCCTGCCCATCGTGTCGCCAGGTCGTAGCTCTCAGCGTTTTCCCCGCCAATCGGCTGGTCTGGCACATTCTCAGGTTGTGCTTTGCACCGACGTTTCAGGTTGCCTCGAGTCGAGCTTTGGCTATCGTGCTCCTCGGGTTTTGGTCGCCGCGCGTTCTCTGGGTCATCGTCTGTCGGTGACAATTGGCCCGAATTTGCGCTGGACAGCTGCTTGTTCTTCAAATTGCCCGCGTCGAGCTTATGTTCCGGCTTGTGCGTGGGCCGCTGCGTGTTGGCTCTACAGCGCCCGTGTTTGTTTGGGTCGCGCCACCTTGTGCATAGCCATCGCTGGGCGCTTCCATCGTGGCGCGTTCGACTAAGTTCGCTCGCAATTGGCGCCTTCGCCTGCCGACTGTCTGAGCTTCTCTGTGCCGACGACTTCAAAGGTATGCGTGTGTGCGTGTGTGCGTGTGTGCGCGCGCGAGTGTTTGTGTGTGTATATGTGTTTCCTTACTTGCATCTCTCGTTCCGTGGGCTGTCAATTCGATTCGAGGTAGCGACGGACAATGCTCTACGATGGTAGCGGAGCCGGGCGGCTCCGCGGTGAAACGCAATACGCGCGGCGAGCATTCGTGGGGTCGCCAGGGCCTGCGGGGGGCGATGGGGCAAGCGGCGGCGCGCTGCGCTGGCGCTGCGGCAGCTTCGCGAGCGGAGAGCACGCCGGGCTGCGCACGACCTCGCTGCGGGTTGTCCCGTGCGAGAGGGCGCGCCGCGCCGCCCCGCCGCGGGTAGCTTCGCGCAGGAGGGCGCCGCTGCGGGTCGCCCAGCGCAGGGGGGGGCGGTCGTAGGTCCTGCTGCGGGCAGCCCCGCGCGGGGCGATGCCGAGGCAGAGGTTGAGGTTGAGGAGAGGGTCTGCTAGGACTTATGGAGGCCGCTAGGCAATGGATGGCGGAGACCGCCCGGCAGCTGCGGGCGCGCCAGCAGCATCTGGAGGCAGACCTGGCGCAGGTGCGCGTGGAGGCGACAGCGGCCCGTGGGGCGGCCGCCCCTGGGGGCGGAAGGGGCGCCAGTGCCGAAGGCGCAGGAAGCTGCGATCGTTGACGTTGACGCGAAGCTGTATGGCAAACCCAGTGAGTTTTCCGGGGGGCAGCCCGCGTGGCGGGACTGGGGCGCTGTCTTCAAAGGTTGCGCTGGGGCCGCAGCCCCACGGCTGGCGCCGAGGTCGGCTGCCCAGTCGACGGCCCCAGTGCCCGACGTGGCGCTGACGGGCCAAAGAGAGGCGCTGGCCAGTGCGCAGCGGTATTGGATGTTGCTCTTGCTGTGCATTGGCGCAGCGCTAAACGTCGTTCTCCTCGCCGCGGACAACGAGGGGCTGGGGGCGAGGCGGCAGCCGGTGGAAACGCGCGGGCCCAAGACGCGGTCGCGCATTGCTGGGCAGCCGATGCAGATCCCGCCTTTCTCGCTGCGCGGTGATGTCCCTGAGCGGCCCGCCGCGCGGGGGCGCGAGATCGCCGCGCGCGAGCGTGACTCGGAGAGGGCGCCCGATGATGGAGTGGAGATCGGGGCGTTTCTCTTGCGTCTCCCCGAGTCGTCCCTCAAGACCCGTCTCCTGGCGAGGGTGGGCCAGCCGGCGCGGTGGGCCGATTTCTCGGCGGGGGTCGCGGCGATCGGCCAGGCGATCGCCTCTGCGCCGGCGCGGCCGACGCCGATGGAAATCGGCGACGTGGCCGAAGGGGGCGGCCGCGGCAGACCCAGCGGCGGAGGCGTGGGCCCAGACCGCGGGGGGCGGCAGCGCGCGTGTCCAAGGCGCGGTGGGGAATCGCATGCAAAGGCGGAGTGCCCGCAAGGGCAAGACGTGCAACGAGCGCGGCAAACTCCGCGGCGTCGCCCGTGCGTGCAAGGCGCCAGGAGGCGCGCAACAACACCAACCTCATCGTCAACATGATCTCCATTCTCCTCATCAGCTGCAGAAGCAAGGACGAGGTAGAGGTGGGAAAGGTATTGGGAAGGGCAAGGATCGGGTGTGCTTCAACTGCGGCCTGCCTGGGCACCTGGCCGCTCAGTGCACCGGGCCGAAGGTCCATTCGGTGGAGAGCGACGGAGCTGCAGATGTGGCGGAAGTGGCAGCGGTGTCAGGACATTTCGACATCGTCACCGTCGGCGCCGGCACCGAGGACGGCCCCGGGGGCGCAGGGGGGGCGCGGGTATCCTTGGCCCTTCGGATTCGGATGCGGGTAGCCCCGCTCTGGATGCAGTGGGAGGGCCGCGCGCCTGGCCAGGCGATTGGCTGGACATCGAGGTGGGCTCTGGCGCGGAGGTCAACTGCCTCGCGGCAAGTGTCGGAGCTGGGTCGCGCCCTTTTCGCCCGGCGAATCCCAGCCAGAGCGTGTTGCTGGGCCTGTCGGACAGGGGTGGCGAGCTCTGCGCGGGCGTCGTGAAGCATGGGTTTACGCGGGGTGCCCGGGCCGCAGGGCGTCCGCCGAGAAAGAGCGGGCGCATATGCGTTCCGAGGATTGCAGGGCGCGTCTTGGGGCCGAGTTGGTCAGACAGACGTGGGTCGGCAATGGCTCACGAAGGCCTCCTGAAGGACTGTGTCTGCGGGGCAGGCCCCGGAGGCGCGTGGGGGAGGCGTGGGAAAGATTGCAGCGGCTTCGGCGGCTACGGCGGTTCCGGCGACGGCCTCGTCTTCGAGCGCAAGAGGCCCAGGGGCGACTGCAGCGGCTCCGGCGGCCGCGCGGCTCGCGTGGCGGCCTCGCCCTCAGGGGTGGGGGGGCGCGCAGGCAGCGGCCGCTGCGGCTCCGGCGGCGGTGGCCGCGGCGGGGGCGGCGAGCGCGGCGGCGGGTGCGCGGGCGTTGCACGCGGCGGCGCCGTCTGCCCAGGGGGCAGCCCTGGCGGGACATGATGGTTTGGAGATGGACGCGCGCCGACCGACTAGGAAAAAACATATTGAAATCCAGGTGCCTGCCGCGGAGGGCGACGTGGCCACGGCGATGGTGGCCGCAAGCGGTCTGTATGCGGACGTTGCGGCGCTGGTGGAGGCGTGTTCCCAGGCGCGCTCTCAGCGCGAGGCCAGCGCGTCCAGCTTGCGTGCAGGCGCGGCCATGGATCCGCGCCCGGGCTGGGGCCTCGGGCCCGATGGCGAGTTGCAGCAGGCGCAGGGGCCTCTGGGTGTGGAGAAGTCTGGCTTGCTCGTTCTTGCTCCAATGTGGTTGGGCCCATCCCTGTTGCAGGACATGCCGACGAAGCCTAGTAGGCTTCGGGGGCTTTTGGAGACGGGCCGCAAGCACTTCGAGTTCGCGTCCTCGCTTGTGCGGCAGCAGGTTGTCAGAGGTGGTCGGGTGCTCTTCGAGCTTCCCTGGGAGGCGACCTCGCGGCGCGTGGGGTGCGTCGTCGATATTTTGGCGACGATTGGCATGCAGCGCGTGCGATGCGATCAGTGCCTCTCCGCCCAGATCTCGGTGGATGGATCTGGCCAGGTCGGGCCGGCTCGCAGGGCGATTGGGTTCATGGTGAACGACCCGTTCACCGCTCGAGCCGTGTCGCGACAGTGCCACGGAGAGCACGGGCACGTGCAGTCGCTCGGAGGTCGGGGGAAGACGTGGGACGAATATCCACCCGTCCAGGTGGTGGAGATCTTTCGAGCTCTGAGGAGCTCGATGCGCGCTGCTGAAGGCGGCGTGGCAGAGGGGGTGTTCGGCAGAGGTCGTGAGCTGACGATCTCTGCGGTGGAGGCCGGGCCTGTCCTGGAGGAGCTGGAGCTCCTGGCGAGGCCGGCGACGACGGAGGAGGAGAATGTATCCCGTGGCCGATGCACGGGGCCCCCGTTAGATCCCGAGCGCGTGCGAAGTGCAAGGGCGGACGAGATGAGGTACATGCAGGAATCATGGCTTTGGAGCCGTGAGACTTGTCGACCTAGGGCGACCCTGCTCGCCGACTGGGTAGCGACTTTCGTCGCGACGCGTCCGTGCGAAACATTCCGGTTGTGGCCCGGCCTGCTCATGGCCAGCCCCAGGCCCGAGAGCCCCGCCTATGAGGACGTGTTGATGTCGCTCGAGATTTCGCGGGCGCGCCTCCATTCCCCTCTCGGCCGAGTGGCGTCGATGGCCGGATCTACCGTCTGCTCGAGGCCACGTGCGGCTTGAGGGGCGCAGGCGTGTCTTTCGACAGGAAAGTCGAGCCCGCCATGGACCTCGCCAGCGCGACCTTAGGGAAGTTCAGCGTCTGCTCAGGATTTCGTAGGTCTGGTGACTCCGTGGTGCGGGGTGTGCGATGGGGTGGCGACTTCACCCTCGGTGGCAAGAGGTTGCGCTGCGCGGAGTTTGTGGGCGAGCTCGGGGAAGGCCTCTTGGCAAAGCGCGCGGCCGCGCTGGGTCCAAGCCCGGAGCGCGGCGACGTCGGCTAGGCCACATACTTCAACGGGCTCGTGCGGTGGTTTCCCCCTCGGCTCGGAGGGCGGCGAGCGGATCGAGCTGGGGGCCGCCCCGCGGCGCGCTGAGATCTTGGTGCAGCAGCTGGGCCTAGATGAGGGGCGCGCGAAGGCCGTTGCGACGCCGGGCGTCGAGCCGACCGGCGACGGCGACGATGGCGGACAGGAGCTCGATGTGGAGGCTAGGTCTAATTACCGATCTCGGGCCATGCGTGCGAGTTACCTCTCGCGAGACCGCTGCGAGATGCAGTTAGCGTGCAAGGGGCTCGCGCGACGCGTGCAAGCGCCGCGCCAGAAGGACATGCAGTCGCTCAAACGCTTAGGGCGCTTCCTGAAGGGCGCGCCTCGCTGATTGGTGGTGTGCCGGCGGCGGGCTGACCAAGCGGTCGTGGACGTGTTCGGCGACAGCGACTGGAATGGGTGCTGGAAGACCCGGCGCTCGACTTCATCGTATTTTTTGGGGGCAGCATCTGATCGTGGCCAGTAGCGCAACGCAGAACGTCGTGGACACGAGCTCCGGCGAGGCGGAGCTCTACGCTTTGACTAAGAGTGCGAGCCGTGCTATCGGCACTGCTGCCATTGCGGCTGACTTGTTCAAGGTCTTGAAGCCGCGCGAGCGTATGGACGCCAGTGCGAGGAAGTGCGTGTCCGACCTGAAGTGCACGAACTCACATGTGAGCGGGTTCGACAGATGCTGAATCGGCGTCGCTCTGACCCGAGGGGCGTGGTAAATGTCATAACCTCGTTGCTTGCGTCTCTTGTTGCGTGGACTGTCATACCGAAGCCGCTTCGATTCCAGGCAGCGGCGAACAAATAGTGTGTGTGTGTGTGTGTCTGTTGGACTTCCGCGACGGTGAGGCGGGGAGAGGGGGAGGGTAGGGGGAATGGAGAGAGGGCGAGGGGTGGGGAGGAGAGGAGCTGGGACTGCTTCTGCTTGAGCTGGGGCGGCCCTTCTGGCTCGCCCGAGCGGGGGCCCCTCCACGGTCCAAGCGGCTGCGGCGTCGCAGTCGTCGTCGTCGTCGTCGTCGTCGTCGTCGTCGTCGTCGTCGTCGTCGTCGTCGTCGTCGTCGTCGTCGCCGCCGTCGTCGTCGCCGTCGTCGTCGTCGTCGTCGTCGTCGTCGTCGTCGTCGTCGTCGTCGTCGTCGTCGCTGCCCGACGGCTCTGGCGCTGGCGCCGGCGCTCGCCGTCGGTCGGTTGCAAGGGGTGCCCCCTCGTCGTCGCTGCCCAACGGCGCCGGCGCCGGCGCCGGCGCCGGCGCTGGCGCTCGGCGTCGTCGGCTGCAAGGCCCCCCCCTTGCTACTCAGGGGGGGGGGCCCCTGCCCGGTTCGAGCCCCTGCCCCCTGCAAGTCGAAAGGGGGGGGGGACTCGGCTCGTGGCCCCCCCCTCCCTCCTGGACAGAGGCCACCCAGCGGTCAAATGGTCCGAGGCGGGGATGAATCCATAATCCGCGCTCGGGGGATCGATCTTCGGGGGCCTCGGCAGGCAGCCGCGGCCCCGTCGGCGGCGGCAGCCTGCGCCCGACGGGCCCCAGCCGCTTCGCGTCCTCGAGAGGCTGGGGTGCGCCTCCCCAGGGGACGCTCCCTGCCGCGGCCGGTCCTGGCGCAGGATGCGGCGGCGGCCCGACTGTGCCAGGCAGGCGTCGACGATGTCGGACTGAGCCCGTTGCCGCACCTGCGCTTCTTGGCAGGCCTCTCCTGCAAGGCCAGTTGGATCTTCCGCTTGCGCTCGAGCATTTGTTTTCTGCGCGGGAGCGCGTGCACCTCACCCGGTCCTTGACCTCGCGAGGTTTGCGTTCGGTCTCCATCCATTGCGTGAGCTCCTGACCTGTGATGCCCCTGAGCTCATCCAGAATCTGGCAGAAGGCCTTGGCGAGCTTCAGCCCGAAGAGGCGGTCCACGGGCTCGGGTTGCTGGTCCTCGACGAGCCCCGCGGAACCTTGACTTCTGGCCAACGCTTTGGTGGCTGTTTTCTTGGAGGGCTCTGCTTCTGCCAGTGCCACAGCCGTCTCAAGCTCGCTATCTTCCGCTCGGGCAAGACTTGAGCAAACTTTGACCACGAATTGAGCAGCGTGGTCATGTCCGAGAGCGGCGTATGTGACCGCGCCCGTGGCCTTCTCGATCGCCTCCTCAAGGGTTGCTGCGGGTGCCGCCTGCTGCTCAGCCCTGAGGTGTGCCACCCAATCCCCGATCACGATGCGCGCCGTGGCGTCCGTGGCGGCCTACATGGCCGCTTCATCGCCGCGATCGGGCTTCCGGGGCAACGTCTGCCTTGGAGTAGGAGGAGTGCATCGACTCCCAAACGCCCGAGGATCGCCGACAGGACCGAGAGCCCGCCCCGCCCAGGAGCGTGCGGATTCGCTGGCAGGGGCCATCGCAAGTCTGTCGGCTATGTATCGCCTGCTTCAGCTCGATGTTCCCAGTCCCGAGCCGGTCCCCCACTGCCATTCCCCTTCGTGGTCGGAGACGCCCACCATCAAGGGCGTAGAAGGCGCCCCCAGCCTGGTTCACGAGGCGCTGTGCGCTGCACCTCCTGGAGGCTAAGCCCTGCGTATCGCGCGTGTCTGTCGCGTGGCGTCCTGGCTGTTCTCTGGCCTTCGGGAGCTCCCAGGCGGTTGAGCAGTTTCCGCTTGCAGTTCGCGCGTTGTTTGACGGTCAAAGTGGTTTGAAGTTCTTCATGTGGGGGGCGGGGGTCGCTTTTGATGCGTGGACCTGGAACCCCCCAAAGCCCTCATCGTGTTATGCACAGTCAGGAAAGGAGAGCTGCGTACATTGGGTGAGAAGGCGGCGGATGAGCAGGGGGATAATGAAGAGGGAGCAGAGGATGAGGATGAGGAAGGAGGAGGGTGGGGAGTCACGGCATCAGCATGATTAATTAGGAAGAGGAGTGGGAGGGCCGGGAGGAGTGATGACCAGGGGTAGGCGGGGCAGGGGAAAGCGGCGGGGCGACGACGACGAGGAACGGGTCGGCTCCAGCAAAGTGGCCCGCGCTACAGCGAGAGCGCTCTTCTGAAAGACGGGAGCAGCGCTGCTCTAATTATGAGGCCCACGTTGCAACGGAAACGCCATTCTGAAACGCCGAAATTGTTCAGATTGAAGCAAGCCATCGGAAATATCAAATACGTAGATCTCGTGCGTATAAAGAGCACAGTACACGGAGAGGGCGGGACGTAGGCGAAGTAGAGAGGAAAATCGTATTCATACCGAGTAATTCTAGAACAAGACCGGGATGAGGATCCGTACCTGAGAGGCGCTGGATTTTTTTTCCTCGATTTTGGCTCCTGGAGGCCCGGTTGCGGGCCCCAGGATCTGAAGCAGGGTGTTTGGGAAGGGGTCGAGGGGTTCAGGGGGCCCGGCGTTCCCTCCACCTTCCTTCCCTCGTTCTCCTCCTCCTCCTCCTCCTCCACCCCCCTCCCTCCTCCCTCCTTGCTTCTTTCCCTCCTCCCTCCCTCTCTTCCTTCCTGTCCCCCCCACCTCAACGACGACGACGCCGATGCTGCAACGGCGACGGACGACGACGACGACGAGGACGACGGCGAGGCCGACGCAGCAGACGTCGACGACAACGGCGCCGACCACGGTGGCGGCGGCAGCGGTCGACGACCCCGGTGGCGCCAGGCTGGACCTGCGCGCGGACTCCTGCGCCGGCGAGGCCCCGGCTTCCGTCGAGGCAGCCGCTGGTCCTCGTCCTCGTCCTCGCTCTTGTCCTCCTGCCATTGTGGACGGATGTCGATCACCCCGTGCCCCAGGTAAGCAAAAGGCCTCCCCCCTTCACCTCTCTCGAGTGTCGATTCTTTCTTGGCAAAACACTTTTTGTCGACGGGAGTGGCGGGGGAGCCGGATTTTAGAATCCCCG